ACCACTCAGCAGGTGGCAGGGTGGCTCTAGACAGGGACACCAGCCAAGGGACAGTTTGTACCAGGGTAAAAGCTGGCTGGGGCTGCTGGCCAGATGCCTGAGGAGGAGAGGAAGACTTCCCAAGGAGAACCATAGTGTCAGTGGCATGGCTGGCCGGGACAGACTCCAGAACCCCAGCTGGGCCAATTAGGAATTTGGGACTGGAATTTGAAAATGGTCAATTTTTGTGTGAAGTTGAAACCAAAATGACCCAGAGAGCAGCCATTTTCTACCATGAGCATGGGAAAGTTGATGGTAGAATGAGAAAGATGAGGGAAACATGCAGAGAAATGTGGGGAGGGAGAACAGGCAGAGAGAGAGAGAGAGAGAGAGAGAGAGAGAGAGAGAGAATATGCTTTGCTGACAGTTTTCCAGTCTCAGAGTCCAGTTCCTTATAAACACTAGTTGAATTTCCTGTGCTTGGCCTCCATAAAACACTCTATATCCTTTAATAAATTTCCCTTTTTGGAGAGCATGAGATGCTTTCTACTTGCAACCAAAGAACCTTGGCTAAGGCAGGAAGATATACTGTGGAAGTTCTCTGTCCTTCAATCAAAGCCTACTGGGGTGGAAGGAGACAGAGAAAGAGAATAAAACCAGTATACCCAAGCTGGGGGTATTGCTCAGAGGCAGAACCATGCTCAGCATGTGTGAGGCCCTGGGTTCAATCCCCAGTACCCAAGGGGGGAACAGAAAAAAAAAATACATACAGTGTCTTGATATAATTTTTTAAAAATCTTTATTTATTTATTTATGTGCTGCTGAATATAGAACCCAGTGCCTCACGTGTGCGAGGCAAGCACTCAACCTGAGCCGCTTGATGATTTTTTATGGAGTGCTCCTAGGAAAAACTGATTAATAGACCAAGGAGTACTGTGGAGAAGAAGCAAAGCAGGAGTACAGAGAGGTTCTGACCTTGACTTGATCACTAAGGGAAGACTAGCATGAAAATCACCCTTCAACTAAGGTCGTGTGAATCCACTTACATGAGGTCCCTAGAGTAGTCAGATTTCATAGAGACACAAATTGGAGCCTAAGGAGTTCAATGGGGAGTGGGGAAAAGTTCTGGAAATGGATGGTGGATTCTGGAAATGAATGCTTTCTACTTGCATTGGTGGAAATGGTTTGTATAATAATGTGAAGATACTTAATGTCACTTGACTGCATGCTAAAAAATGTTTAAAATGGGGCCGGGGGTACAGTTCAGTGGTAAACCATGTGCTTAGAATGCACAAGGCCCTGGGTTCAGTCCCTAGCACACCTCCCAAACGATTAAAATGGTAATTTTTACTTTATGTATAAATTACCACAATAAACAAAATAATCAAAAATAGAAAAAAATACTTCACTTGAGAGTTTTTGCAGTCTTGAAGCAAGGCCTTTCACTTTCCCGTATCTGTTGGTCATCAGCCAGGGGCTTCCTGGGCTGCACAATTCCCAGGGCCTTCTAGCTTCCTCCCCCCACAGGTGAGGAGGCTCCTGGAGCTCAGGGACAGTCCTCCGAAGAACCAGAGCTGGAGAAGCACTTAGAAGATGGGGGATGAGCACATGGAACAGGCAGGAGAGATTTAAGAATATCATGTGGGGCTGGGGATGTGGCTCAAGCAGTAGTGCGCTCGCCTGGCATGCGTGCGGCCCGGGTTTGATCCTCAGCACCACATACCAACAAAGATGTTGTGTCTGCCGAGAACTAAAAAATAAATATTGAAAATTCTCTCTCTCTCTCTCTCTCTCTCTCTCTCTCTCTCTCCTCTCTCACTCTCTCTTTAAAAAAAAAAAAAAAAAAGAATATCATGTGGCCAGCACCAGTGTCAGCTGTATCCAGTCTCAGGTTACCTGTACTAACTAGGCAGCAATCTTACCAGAGGCATATATTTTTAGTGTTACTGGTCACTGACCCCACTGTCAAGATCATGGTAGAAAACCAAAATCCATGCCAAGTAGTTGGACCAATTAGGTGCTATGTACACTGAAAGAACAGCAGGGGAAAAAATGATAACCCACCCCCATCCCACCATCCCACCTCCACCAGGCACAGAGGCCCACACCTGTAATATCAATGACTCTGGAGGCTGAAGCAGCAGGATTACCAGTTTGAGACTAGAATCAGCAATTTAGGAAGACCCTCAACAACTTAGTGAGACCCTCTCTTAAAATTAAAAATTAAAAGGACTGGGGATATAGTTCAGTGGTAAATCCCTGGTTCAATCCACAGTACAAAAAAAAAAAAAAAAAGAATCAGAGGACAAACAAGCTGAGGACCAACCCCCTTAATCATTTTCCTATTTACCAGGGATGTCCTAAGTGCCTGCTATGAGCCAAGATTGTGTGAAAAGTCGGGAGCCCAGGATGGAACAGCACAGAACTCTTTTTGTAGCAGGATAGAGGTGATTTGGTGCAGGGGGGGGGGGTATCTCCATCTCCGGGAAACCCAGTTTCAGGTCACCTGCACAGTTCCTCTCAGGGCTATGTCAGGTCCATACCACAGTTTTGTGCAAATTAGAAAAAGCTGGTCCTCCAGGAAGGCACAGCCTCTCAGATCCCAGCAGCAGATCCAACAAGCTGGATATTCCTGGGCAGGATCCTATTTATATTTCTGCAACCATGTTGGAGAGTCTGGCTTGCCTCTGGCAAGGGACTTTACCTGAGGACCACAGACTCCCAAAGCAGGAGTTCCTAAGTGCACACTCATTCATTCATTTAACAATAATTATTGAGCAACTACTGTGCTCCTGTCAGTCTTCTGGATTCTATGGAGACAGCCGTGGGGGGGGGGGAACTCTCTGCTTTCAAGTATGGCAAAATGTCGGTTATGGTGGCACACACCTGTAATACCAGCTATTTGATATTACAGCAACTTAGCAAGACTCTATCTCAAAACTAAAAAGAGCTGGGAGCCCAGCAGCTTTGGAGGCTGAGGCAGGAGGATCAAGAGTTCAAAGTCAGCCTCAGCAACTTAGTGAGGCCCTAAGCAACACAGTGAGACCCTGTCTCTAAATAAAATACCAAAAAAAAAAGGGCTGGGGATGTAGCTCAGTGGTTAAGGCCCTTGGGTTCAATCACCAGCAACTAAATAAATAAATAAATAGGCTGGGTGTTGCTCAGTGGTTAGAGTCCCTAGATTCAATGCCTTGGGGGGAAAAATAAAAAGGTAAAAGCCAGTAATTGTTGAATATAGGCAGATGTTGTAGCAGGTGTTCATGTAGTTATGTTTTTCTGTGTTTGAAATTTTTCATTGAAAACAAAAGTGGGAAGAAAAAAATCTTAGACTTCAGAGATAAACAGTAATGTGTGGAGGCGCCTGCGCCAAGCACTAACAGAACACAAAACAGGAATGAGCTTTGACAAGTACATGTGGAGATTCCAATTTTAAACAGGGTGCTTGTTCCAGGAACTTCTCAGTGAGGGGGTGACGTTTGAATACAACCCTGAAGAAAAGGAAGGAGCGATCCATGCTACTCTCTAGAGGAAGAGATGTCCTGGCAGTGGGCAAAGAAGAGGTAAAGACCCTGAGGCCGGAACGTGCCCAGCACTTTCCAGGAACAGTCAGGAAGCAAGTGTGTGGTTGGGGCAGAGACTGGGTGCAAGGAGCAGAGCAAAGTGGCCAAGAGGGCAGGGAAGGGGCTGGGCAGGTCACCCGGGGTCTTGAAGGTGAGAGTATGGGGGAAAAATACAAATGCACCGTCCAGGGCTGGGGGTCCCAGAGCTTCCCACAGACGCTTGAAGAGATGCAGACCGCACCCCCTCCCCCTCCCCCGCCCCCATGAGACTAAGAACCAGCGCGGGTTGGTTTGCCCTTCAAAATTTCCCGCTCCCGAGTCTCAGCAGGAAGGGGCGGAAACTGATTGTTTTGTTGCGAGCGTCACGTTGCCATAGCGACCCCTGCAGCTCCACCACCTGCGGGGACTAAAGTTGCAAGCTGAAGGTGAGGCGGCGGGAGGCTGCAGGGACCGCAGGTGAATGCAGGTGAGCGTAGGTGGAGTGGGGCTCCAGCTAACCCCCAGCGGCCTGGGCACCGCCCCCTCCACCTTCTTCTGTGGTCCTCATTGTTATTTAGGATCAAAACAGCCTGGACAGGCTTGCAAGCCTTTCTTTTCCTATCAATAGCTATTGTTTTACAACTTGCAACCTTCCCCAGAGTAGACCTAAGTTCCGGAAGTGTGAATGGGAGGTGGACTTTATGTGGCACTAATGAAGCAGTAAATAACACCAGTGACATCATAAGAAAGTTATTACTTGTGCTAGGGGCGTAGCTCAGTGGTAGAGGACTTGACTGGCATGTGAAATGGAAAGTTATTAAGAGTCTGTGGTTTGTTATGTTTCTGAGTAAGCCAAGGAGAAAGTGTCAATATGGGGCTAACATGGCATTAACACTTGTTTTAGTTTTTGCTTATCTTTCATTTTAGCAGAGACCTTGGAACTCAGCCATCTGTAAGCCACAAAACCTAGCTAAGATTTAAATTGGTTATTTTGGGTACTTTAAAAAAATATATTTATTTATGTATCTTTAGTTGTTTTTTTTTTGTTTGTTTTGTTTTGTTTTTTTAATGTGGTAACAAGGGTTGAACTCAGTGCCTCATGCATGCTAGGAGAGCACTCTACCACTGAGCCACCACCCCAGCCCCATTTTGGCTACTTTTATTTTTAGTTCTCTTCATCCTAGAGTACCTGGTTCCAGTTTTCTACTTATGGCAAGGGTGTGTAAAGTCTACTTGTTTGGATAAAGGTATCAATTTTTAAAGTGAATTAACATAGAGATTATTCATTCGAAGACACACCTGTGATCCTAGTTATTTGGGAGACTGAGGCAGGAGAATCCCAAGTTCAAGGCCAACCTCAGCAACTTAATGATACCCTCAGAACATTAAAAAGTAAAAAGGACGGGGGATGTAGCTCAGTACTAAAATACTCTTGAAGTCAATCCCCAGTATAAAATATAAAATAAGGGGCTAGAGTTGTGGCTCAGTGGTAGAGTGCTTGCCTAGCATGCATGAGGCACTGGGTACAATCCCTGGCGCAAGTGCGTGCTCTCTCTTCCTATCTGAGGTCCCCCCAGAGCTCCAGCTACCACACAATACAGCAACTGAAGAGTATGTACAAGACCAAGACTATCTAAAGAGGGCACGGATATACAGTGCAAAATGTGAACTCAGGGGCCTTTGCTCCAAAAGTATAAGAATTTTGAAATGGTAACAGAAGAACAGTAAACCAAGGGTGTAGCTCAGGGCTTGTAAGGAGGACCTGCTATGCAGCTGCACAGGGGGCACAAAACCAGCAGGCTGGCCCCATGGATGGTTGCTGGGACACCATGATCTCTTGGAATCTACTGTCTCTGAGGCCTTCTAATTGGTCAGTATCTGAGTGTGTCAGTACCTGGGAGTGCTTATGTGTAGCCCCAGAAACCATGCAGCTGCTGAGGGAAGATAAGGGTCCCCAGGATTTTGAGAAGGCCATTTTTATCACCCATGAACAAGACAAACGAAGACAGACAGCTGGCCGTGAATGTCTGTGTTGGAGATTCTGGGGACACAAGGAATAGAAACGCAGGCTCCCAGACCCTGAAGGGAAGCCCTACATTTCCCCCCACAAAGTCCCTCTGCGACTAAACTAAGCAGAGCAGGGTCCAGTGGGGAAAAAAAAAAAAACTAACGAGACAATGGGATGGAAGTTAAGGGTCACACATAGAAGGGTGACAGTCCTGGTGTGCCTGGGATTGTCCCATATTTTAGCACCAAAAATCTGAGGTGCCAGGAAACCCTTCAGCCCCACGAAACCTGCTCACTTGGTCACCACCCGCCCTTCCCCCCATCGTCTCTTTAATTGTCAAACTCAGCCCCTGGGATTTGCCACCATCCTGTCAGCTAGATAGATGAGGTGGGACCATGGGGAACCACAGTACAATGCTTGGCCCTGGGGAGGCAGGCGGTTCCTGCAAGCTATGCAAAAGCCAGCTGTCTGCCAGATACCCCCTTGCTCCCACCACCTGGCCCTTCCCTCTGGGTTCCTCCAGCCACAGGACCAGGACCTACTCTGATTGATCATTCTAGTCATCAAATATGTGATTGTCATTCCTCCAAGCGGCAGCTTCTCTGATGCCATCATAAACCCTGGGTTCCTAATGGTCTCCCTGGGTTCCCAAGCAATTGTTCCATCAGATCCCCATGGAGGGGGCCCTAGGGGAAGGCAAGGGAGGGAATAGCTAAGAGTCAGTCCAGCACAAAAGGACCCCCTTCCACAGGGACTCAGAATACACATGAGTCACCCCTCCTGCCCTCAGGGGCCTCCCTGGGAAACCCTAGGATCCCAGCCTGTAAACAAGGCACACTGAACCCCTCATATCCCTGACCCTTTTCTAGCATCTTCTGGCCCCACAGAAGCAACCAACATGCCAGTCTTCAAATGCCCCCCAAAGTCGGAGCCCCTGTGGAAGGGGTGGGACCAGAAGGCCCAGAAGAACGGACTGAGACACCAAGTGTATGCTGTGAACGGTGATCACTACGTGGGCGAGTGGAAGGACAACACAAAACATGGTGAGCGGGGGGACCCTCAGGTAGCCAGTGTGAGGTCAGAGCTGTGGTGGGCAGGCAATAGGCACAAGAAAACTGTGCAGAATTCATTGGGGACATAAGAGGTGACCCTAGGGCTGGGATGTAGCTCAGTGGCAAAGCGTCTGCCTTGCATTCGCAAAGCCCTGGGTTCGACCCCCAGTCCAAAAAAAAAAAAAAAAGACAAAAAAAAGAACCCCACCATAAGAGGTGACCCTAAGGCTCTCCACGTAGGGTGCTGACATGGACCAGAAAGGAACTCTTCGTGCTGGGGATCTGGAACCTACTCCAGCCCTGACCTCAGCTGCGTGAGGGTCTTGGGACCAGCAGGGGACAAAGGGGCCTCCAGAAGCCAGCCTGCCGCTGGGACTCTGTGGATTGAGCGAGGTCCCTGCTCTCTGAGATATGGGCTAAGCTTGGGACTTGTTGGCAAGAGGAAAAGGCAGCCTTTTTATTCAAAAACCTGACTGGGCTTCTTCACTTTTGCCAGCTCTCAATCCTTACCCTCTACTGCTTTCCTGTCCTGGGGATTAGACCCAGGGCCGCATGCATGCTAGACCAGAGCTCTACCACTGAGCCACACCCCAAGACCAATTTGTAAAGCTAAGAGGTGGCATCCATCAATCTTGTAGCCCAGGGCTCATGCAATAGGGGAACTTCTGTCAAATGTGTCTCAGACCCTGGAGGAGAACACCCAGAAAGGAGAAGCCTGGGGCTGTTGGTGAATTCTGGGAATGCAGAATCCAGACCCCTGCTCTTTGGGACACATTTGACTAAATTGAAGTGAATATGGACAGATTAGTAGCAGTCTCCAGTGCTGGGGCTGGGATAGAGCACTCACCTAGCATGCGTGAGGCCCTGGGTTCAATCTAGCACTGCAAAAGAAGAAAAAAGAAAGAAAGAAAAATAAAGAAAGATCATGAGGGGCCAGGATTGCAGGATTGGGTATCTCAGAGGTTTCTTAAGACTGCTCACTTCAAAAATACTTACTGAACTGCCCATCCATACCAGACCCAGTGCTGGGCAACTGACACAATTCCAATCCCCAGGGATCCTCTGGTCTTGCCAAGAACTTGCACAATAAGGTAACATCAACTCTCACAAATGGGCCGGGTGCAGTGGCACACGCCTATAATCCCAACAGCTCTGGAGGCTGAGGCAGGAGGATCTCGAGTTCAAAACCAGCCTCAGCAACTGCAAAGCACTAAGCAACTCAGTGAGACCCTGTCTCTAAATAAAGTACAAAATAGGACTGGGGATGTGGCTCAGTAGTCAAGTGCCCCTGAGTTCAATCTCCAGTACTAGAAAAAAAAAAATCTCACAAATGGGGTAACTGGGATTCACAGACAGGAAGTAACTACCCAAGATGGAGCAGCTAAAAGTGGTGGCATCAGGATGAGAAGGGGACGAGAGAGGAGAGCTAAGGGGCCCTGAGAGACAGATAGTCAGGGGTAGCAGTGATATTTGAGTGGGGCCCAAGGATGAGAATGTGTCTCAGACCCTGGAGGGCAGAGCAGCATGCCTTCTAGACAGTGGAACCAGAGGGGAGGGTTGGTCTGAAATATTAAGAGGGAATATGGCTGCATCCAGGGACACACTAGAAGTCAGTGTGCCTGAAGCACAGTGAAAGAAGGAGAGCAGGATGGTTAGTAGGGCCAACTACATAGGGCTTCAAAGGCCATGGTGAGTTGCACTTTTCTTAATAATATGCCCAGGGGCTGGGGATATGGCTCAAGCGGTATTGCACTCACCTGGCACACATGCAGCCCGGGTTCGATCCTTAGCACCACATACAAACAAAGATGTTATGTCTGCCGAAAACTAAAAAATATTGAAAAATCTCTCTCTCT